AGCAAATGGGCAAATGATTTTTTTTTTTTTTTTTTCTCCACACAATAACATCGGTGCTGTCCCCAGTGATGCCTTTTGTATGCTTTTGCATTAATACAGTAGTGGCACCTTTGAGAATAACTGTATTGAACAAAATATTGACAGATATCTGTCAAAGAATGTTGAATGTGCAACTAGTAAATAGAGAGTCAGTTGGGATTATATGATTTTACATTTTACCAGCTTTTGTGTGTGGTGCAAAGGTTGCTTGGAAACCCGGTATTCAGATGTTTAAAAAAAAAAAAAAAGATTTTCAGTGCATTTCCGCTTCCCGTTTCCACACAAATAACACTAACCAAAGCAAATTATATTCATAATATAGATATTTTCACGAGATTGCATTAATTTGTTAATAATCTGCTATATTAAAAGAACTACAGTAGTCAACATTTGAAGTGGATCAAAAGCATTCATCAAAGTTGTCTTAAGAACACATTTTGGTTTTAGGTTTTATGACAACTTTGATTAAAGGTTTTGATCCACTTCAAAGGTTGACTATTGTATATAAACTATGCAATTTTTATTTATACCATCAGATAGTCTCTTAAATCCATTCACTGATCATTTCTATTTGTGTTAATATTTGTACTTAGCCTATTTTTAAATATTCATTTTATTTTCTACAATTCAGGTATCTTTTTATCCTATTAATCTTTTCATGCTAATAAAGTAATTAGCAAGTCAATAAATCAAAGACTCCACAAAAAAACACTATATTCACAACTGAAATAAAATGAATCATTTACTTCTAAGATCTTGATCTCATTGCCAAGAGGTTTATACTATATGTTGTTTCTGATGTTCCCTTGGATTGATATGATGTAGCAAGCAACCAACAAAACAGAGTTAACCAATCAGGGTATCATAGCATGATGTTCAGCTCCGTTAAAAATCTTGACCATCCACATTTTTTAAAATACTGTACATTCTGTCACTTTTGTTAAAAAAGCAACTTATTTGCATGACTCTTTCTTCTGTAACAGATCTTGAAAGCCTACATTCTTCCAGTACAGATTTTACACCTCTGCAAAGGAAATTAATGGACACTGAAGCTTTTAAGCTTCAAAATAGATGTAAAAGCTTCGTTCACTATTTTCCAGGTCTTCTGAATACATTTTGTGAGTGACAGAATGAAATGAAGGTCATTATTAACTGACATCAACGGAAGCTCTCCTTGACGCATCATGAGAGTGATGTCTGACTCATCAGCGATTCATTCTTTTGAGTCTGATCTTTTCAATAATTCAGTTGATCTGGTGTGGCCAAATGAACACCAACTAATTAAATATCATCTAAAACCTGAAACTGTTCAAGGAATAGTTCAGCCAAAAATGAAAATTTGCAGAAAATGCACTCAGTTTCTGGCTGTCCAAGATGTAGGTGAGTTTGTTTCTTCATTGGAACAGATTTTGAGAAATTAAGCATTGCATCACTTGCTCACCAATGGATCCTCTGCAGTGAATGGGTGCTGTCAGAATGAGAGTCCAAACAGCTGATAAAAACATCACAATAATCCACAAGTAATCCACAGCACTCCAGTCCATCAGTTAATGTCTTGTGAAGCCAAAAGCTGTGTGTTTGTAAGAAACAAATCCATCATAAAGATTATTTTAACTTTAAACCGTTGTTTGCAGTTAAAACACTTTGCTTTCTCCAGTGAAAACATCATCTTGTCTGAATCAGGAGAGAAAAAAATACACAGATCAAGCACCATTTACAAGCAAAAACAATGATTTTGATGTGAGAGGACAACAGATGGACTTTTTCACTGGAGGAAGTGTTGTTATGGATTATCGACTCGTATTTTGGTCAGAAGCAACAGTTTGAAGTAAAAAAACATCTTAATGTTGTTGTTTTTTTATTATTATTTCTTACAAATACACAGATTTTCACATCACAAGATGTTAACTGATGGACTGGAG